TCCTGGGGAATGAAGACGGGCATCTTCTCATGCCATTGCGATCGCTGAAGATGCAGCCTTTCGATGCCTGGCTTCATGCTTTATCATAGACTGGGACGGCGGTTTGTAAACTCTGAATAGGTAGTGTTATTGCATTAAATCCCGGCATCCATGTGTTGTATGGAGCCCTGGTGGTGTAGTGGGTATACCGTTAGGCTGTTGACTGTAATGTCAGCCACTTGAACCCCCCAGCACTCAGTGGGAGAGAGGTGAGGTCTTCTGCTCCCATACAGAAGCCACAGGCTTAGAGACCCCCGGGGAAGTTCTCGTCTATCCTAGAAGGTCACTGGGAGTTGACATGGGCTCTATGGCAGTGAGCTTTTAAAATAAGGAAATGTAAATAATCAGATTCCAAAAATATCATCAAACTGAGTGGGTTTGGTTGGGGTGGGGTTGTTCATGAAATGTGAAAAAGTTACAAACTCGTCCTCATTCGCAAAAATGTTATCACGAATCTACAGAGCGATGCAGGGAAACATAGGGCAGCCTTCGCTTTTACTGAGCGCGTCCACAGGGGTGAATTCTGCTAGTTCCCATGTCCTTCCCTTGCTGGGCAGGTGGGATCCATGTTACAGAGAAGAGATCAGAAGCTTCACCCTTGTACTTGAGGAGTTAATGGTTTTCATAGGAAGCCAGTTTTCTTTCTTTTGAGCATTTCACTGGAAACTTTGTGACTAAGAACAGTGGGGAAATTCTCACCGTTTTTGAGAGAGACCTGCATTCCATTCTCAGCCAATGCACTTTATGTGCAGCTATCAACATCTGTTAATATTGACTTGCATGTTACTATGATGCTGAACTTGGCTGGGAAGAAACGCCTGACAATCTGGTTCAAAAAAAGCAGTCAATCAAAGCCCTGGGAGTCACAATGACATACTCTGCCACTGACTGCACAGGCTGTATAAGGCCAGAGGCAGCATTTCATCCCTGGCCCATGGGGTCGCCGTGAGCTGACGGCCAACCTCATGACAGCTAACAGAACACTCCCACACTAAGCTCAGTGGGAGCTAGCTACAAGAATAGAAATGGCCTCACCTTCTGAACTGATGGAGTAAATTTGAAAATAACATTTTTCTTTTCACTGTGAGATAACCAAACACATTTATTTTTATTGCATAAAAGAAAAAAATGTGGTTATCTTAGCTGAACAAGAAAAAAAAAAAGGCCAGGCAGTACACACAGTGGTCAAGACCATGAACTCTATTCTTAGTAACTTCTGGGATAGAGTCCTGGCTCAGCTAGTTACTGTCACCTCATAGGGGTGTTATGAAGATTCGTTGAGATTGTGAAAATCAAGAGCTAATCACAGTACCTGGCATTGAAGAAAATTCAATAAACAATGTCGGATAACATTTAGTAGAATAGCGGGTGTTGGTGCATTATGGCTCCCAGCCTGTTTTTATGAATGAGATTTTATTGGAATATAGTCATGTCTCCTTTTTAGCAAATATTCTACAGCTGCTTTTGAGCTTCTGTGTCTTAGTTCAGTAGTCCCACAGAAACCCCACAGGCAGCAGAGCTGGAATGATCATCATCTGGTCCTTTATCTAAAAAAGTTTATCGATCACTGTTATATAGAATACGGGGCAAGGACACAGGCCAAGAAATCCAGGTCTATTAATTCCAAAGTGAATAAGGACTAGAGTCTAGAAAGAATGAAGAGTAAGAAGTGATCTTGAGACCAACCTAAATGTAAGCCTGTGCCATGCTCAGATGAACATTGTCGAAATGTCATATGACTAAAACCACCTGCGGGTAGAGTGCAATCCCAATGCAAATGCCAACACCGGTCCTTAAGGACATGGAGAACCAACCTCAACTTGATATGGAAAGAAAAGAGTCCCCGGATAAGCAAAGCTGTACTAAAAAAAAGAAAGAAAGAAGAGAAAAAGAGACCAAGTTGGAGGCTCCTCACTTTCTGATCTCAAAAACTACTGCTCAGTCACAGTGGTCAAAACAGCCTGGCACTGGGACCAGGATAGTTAGATAGACAGGAATCTACCCACCTACAGACAGTTGAACTTTGACAAGAACTGAGAGACGTTAAAGAAGGTAGAGGTTTTTTTCCCCCATACACAAGCCTGGCAGAAGTGGATTTGCATTTACAGAAAAATGAAATAGGATCCATATTTCACCCATCAACAAAAATGAACTCAAGATACATCAGGGTTCTAAGTGGAAACCTAGAACTATAAAGATCATCAATGAAAAAATAGGGCCAAGCTTCGGGGTCCTAATCCCTGGAATAAACAGAGTATGAAACAAAATGAGAAACCACTCAAACAACGGAAGACATTCAGATGACGAGACCTCTACAACGCACACCTGTGGGCGTCAAAAGACTACGAGAGAGCTCACAGACGGGGGCGCGGGGACTGGCAATGAAAATATAGGTAAAAGGATTACTCTCTAAAATTTATAGAAATATTCCACACCCCAACAAGAAAACCAAACAACCTAGTTTAAGAATAGGCCAAAGATGTGAGCAGGCACTCAACAAAGAAGACACACGGATGGCCAACAAATATATAAAGGCATGATCATGGTCATTAGCCATTCAAAAGATGTCAATCTAAACAAGAGTATCTCCTCACCCCAACATCAATAGCAAAGCTTAAAACACAGAAACAAAGAAACTCCCCCAAGCAGCAAAAAGAATCTGGCAAGGTTGTGGAGAAAATGCAACCCTCAAACACGGCTGGTGGGACTACAGTGGTACAAGCACCCTGGAAAGCAGTGTGGCACTTCCTCAGAAATGCCACATACCCCCGTCACCCCACCGCTTGGTAGACACCCTAGCTAAGGAAGAGCTGCCACTCACGGTGATCAGTGCACACCAATCGATATTCATGGCAACACTATTCATAGCAGCAGAAACAGTAAATAATATAAATGCCCATCAGAAAAATGGGTAAATAAGCATTGGCTCATAGACCCAATAGAATACTAAGCAGGACTTAAGGGGAAAAATAACCAAAACCAAATCTGAAAAATACCTCAGAACATGGATGGACCTAGAGGATATTATGCTGAGTGAAACCCGTCAATCCCCAAAGGAGAAATATTGTATGTGGCAACTCCAACGAAAAGTTAAGGAAAAAAATTCACTGTAATAGAAACGTTCTTTGATGGCTAAAGCGTGGAAAGGGAAGAGAGGGAGAAGCCATGGAGAGGAGTGTAGGCAAGTGTTAATTTGGGTGAAGAGGAAGGCGCTATGAGTACACACCGAGAGGTGTGAGGAAGGAAAATGATGGAGGCGGGGAAGACATTGGGAGGTTTGAAAGTGTAAAAGGCAACAGAGGCAAATACTGTTATAGACACAATCCTTTCATGGTGATGATCTATAAACAGATGCTTGGTTGGACTTGCAGGTTCCATAATTGTGGGATGTAGAGTGGGAGTGTATCCAGGAATATATATAGGCTTGGCAGAGCATATTTGCATATGCATATATGTACTTTTGCAGGAAATTTATCCATGGATGTGGTAAAGCATTCATAGGGCAAAGTTAAACAAACTTCTTAGACATAACCAAATAGCTTGAGGGAATGATTCACTGAGCCAATGTGCTCAGGCCCTTCGTGCCAGGGAACACTAAGGTTAATTGGCATAGCTATAGTTCGCAAAGACAATGTTCTACCTCTTACTTTGGTGAGTAGCAACCGGGGTCTTAAAAGCTCGTGAGCAGCCACCTGAGGGGCAACTATTAGCCTCTCCTTCACTGGAGAAAAGAAGAATGGTGAAAGTTTAAAGACACATGGAAACAATGAGTTTAATGGACTAATGGATCACACACACATCATTCTCCACAACCCTGAGACCAGAAGAACTAGATGGTACCCGGCTACCACTATTGACTGCTCTGAAGTAGATCCCATTAGAAGGTCCCAGATGTACGGGAAGAAAACTGTTGAACAAAACTCAGAATTATGTGAAAAGAGACCAGGCTTATTGGTCAGATACAGAGAAGTGGGCCTCACCTGAGAGGTGAGGGCATATGTCAATGGGAGATGATAAAAGAGGGCTCCAATTTCTTGGATCTTGATCTGTGTGGTGTTGACACGGATGCCATCTTATGTCAAAACACGCAGAGCTGTACCATTAAGATTAGTGAACTTCACAGGATGCAATACCATAATTTTTTTAAAAAAGGAAAATAACATATTTAATTTTTACAACCCTCCCAAATATACTTGTGCTACTTCAACACAAAAAGAGAGGCTTCCCAGGAAACACAGGGAGCAAGGGTGACAAGTGATGTCGTGTTGTGGGGATTGCAATCAATGACATGAACAAACTGTGTTTGAATTGCTAAATGGAAAACTGGTCTGCTCTGGAGACCTTACTCAATTCATGAGAAAAAGTTAAATAAACAAAAAGTGATATTGAGATGTAAAAGCAAAAGCAACAGGACTAGAATCGTGTGGTTTCCTTTCTTAATGCACCATCGGGTTACACTTGGAGATTTCAGTGGAACATAAGGGGAGGTGAAGGAGCAGGGGAAGGTGAGAGTCCTATGATTGGAGTGGGGGGTCTACCTGTTTTCTTACCTAGATGTAGAGAAAACACTAATTTGTCATAGACAAAGTCAAGGAGGAAAGAGTTGAATTCAAGTTAAATGTTGAAAAAGAAAAAAGAATGAGTGTCGTCCCCTCCTTAACCAAATTGTTAGTTTTCATACTTGCAGGGATCAAAATTGTAGGTGCCATAGATGGATCCAACCGTGAATGTGTTTTGATTTATGAACTTTTGTTGACCTGGTAATTTGATGATAAAATTCAGTATGACATGAGGGGGGAAATCTTTGATGTACATGCCATTCAGAATCTCCTGCGAAAACTGGATGTCAAATGAGCAATTCTAGGTATTCTAACCCCGCTTTATTTAATTCGATCATTTAAAAAAGTCCTTATAGAAAGGACTTGAGGAAAGAACCCGATGGACAATGGAACCGAACTTACAGATTGTGGATGCGATTGGGCCGTAGATGTACCGGGTCTCGTATCGGGTGGCTAAAGCTTCAGCGCCGATCTTTGCAACTTTGTTCTGGGGAGAAAGGGTGGTTAGTGTGGAATAACAGAATACAGTGAACCCTCGCCACTTCGCGCTTCCACTTCCGCGGCTTCACTCTATCGCGGTTTTGCGTTAACAGCGCATGCTCTGTCATTACTGCCACTGATTGGCTCATACTGTACACGCTTGATGCCATCAATAATATAATAAATAATAAATGATAATTGTAACGTCCAAAATGTTTTACTGTATTTTCCCTTTTTTGTTTAATAAATTGGGTAATACGAGTGTAATGGTGACTGAAGGGTGTTTTTTCATGTCCTCTATGCTCTAACTACGAAAATATTTGATTTACAAATAAGGAATCCTACTTCGCGGAATTTCATTTATCACGGTAGGGTCTAGAACTGATGAACCGCGATCAACGAGGGTTCACTGTACTGTACAAACGCCGGGATTGAAAACCCCATTCTATTGCTTCCCTGGCATTGGGGAGCTAGATAGATGGTTTAAGGAGCAGTTAGCTTCAGTAAGCCATATTGGCATCAGAAAGACGGTTCTGAATTTGGAATCCCTTACACACAGCGATGCCATATTTCATTGTCTTTCTCTTTCCCTGTTTCCATCCTTTGCCCCTCTCTCCCTACTTCCTTCTTTATGTTAAAATACCTTCCTTTTTTTTCCTCCTAGATTTTTTCCTGGTTACAAACCTTATTATTTTCCCAAGTTAGTTTCTCATTCGCTCAAATGGGTCTCATTCCTCGTCTTTGAAACGTCTCCCTTTTAGTCTCATCTGACGTTAGATGCCGAGGGGAGAGATACTGACTCCTCTTTAAATCAGTACTGTTAACTTAGACTTCCTCTCTCTGAGAAGTACCGCATCACCTTGAGTACACATCTGTGATTTGGACTCAGAATGATTGTCAGAATTAATTTCTATAGCATAGAGTCATGGACATATGCTATGTCAATGCATGCTATCTTCAAGTGAAGATTGATTTTAAATATATCTATGAAATGACCTTGTGCCTGGAAGCCCAACCTGTTGATTAGGAAGTTAGAAATACCATTGGCCCCCTCTTGTCAGGTGAAGGACTAGCAGATGTCTTTGCTGTTCGACCAGGCTTCTCCTGCGGGCGGTTTTCCAGGCCGATCCCCGGGAAATGTTGAGACTCCACCAATGATCTGTCTATGATCGCATTCTACTCTGGATGCCCAAGATGTTGCTCCTTATTGTCTTAGAATCACATTTAATGATTTAATTTTCTATACACTTTAATCAGTTGCAAGTTAAACTAAAGATGGCAATTTTAACCCCATGATGAATTTAATTAGTTCTTGGCCTTAGGATTAAAACGAGGAATTATTTCAATGCAGCCCATACTGTGCAGGAAGATTAGACTGACATCAAAGGTGGCGTGAGTGCCCCAGCCACGCGCCGTTGCTCTACCTACCAGGCTCTCATGGTCAGGGGCCAGCCTGTGAGTGTATCCGTAGGGAAAGAGGAGCATCTGGGAGTACGAGTGGAAGGTAATGTAGGCCTTGAGGGATGGCAGGTGGCTTCGAATGAAGTCGCTGACCGCTTTCGTCTCTTTCTCCGACTCGGGTGCGGCGCCTCGGTAGACGTCCTGACACGGGTTTCTGGTGTTTGGAAATGCTGCAGGGACACGGGTGGATGCGATCATCATGCTGCTCCTCGTGCGTGCAACCGCGTCTCACCCCATGGGGCGTCCCTAAGCACTTGAATGCTGGCTCCTCCTGGGCTCCAGGGCTGGTCAACGGCGCTGCTCCTACAGGCCAACTGCTCGCACATGGCAGGCTGTGACAGGCCTGTTAGGCACTGCCAAGTCCATGTTTGACCACTAGTAACCCCAGGTGGCAGAAGAGAACTGCCCACGGGGTTTTCCTGGCGCTACCCTTGACGGGAACAAACAGCACTAGGCCCTGCTCCCAGCGAGCTCCTGGGTGGTTTCAAACCATTCCCTTTACGGTTAGCAGCTGAGCACCTAACTTTGTAACAGCCCTAACCCATTGGAATATCCTCAGCTGTTAATTACCCCTTGTTCTACCAGAGCCCCAGAAATACTACGTCAGAAGCAGCCTCGGTGTCGGGGTCACCGAAGCCCCGAAGTCCAAGTCAACTCTGAGCGCTTCCTCGCCGGGCTCTGATGTAACGGGTATTTCCCACCCAAGTTGCTTCAATGTGTTTCGTCCGGCAGCGCTCTATTGGAATAACTGCTTTGATCCTATTCGTCCGGGACAGTGGTATTAAAAGTAGAGGCAATCTTCCGGGTAAAATTAGGAGAATCATGCCAAACAGGGCAGTGGTAACTTAGCCCTGGCATTCTGCCAGCGTGAAGCCATGTTTGCATGGTAGACTAGCACCTCAGGGTCTATCAGGCCTCTGCGTATTAAAATCTCCTGCTCATCGTATCCCCGCATTTTCTCTTCTCCAGCAGGATGCGGAACAGCTGCAGAAGGGCCCACCTGTTGGTTTGAACCATTGGTGTTTATCAACTCTGCTGACCAGGAAGAGAACGGGACCCCCGGACCGTCCCTGTTAGAGCTAGAGCTCAGGAGAAGGCTTGAACGGCGTCCTCACCCCTGCCCCACTGTACCCCTACAGCAAAAACTTCCCCTAGGGCCAGAAGGATTCTCCTCCGTGCTTTTGAGGACCCGAATCCCTCAAAGCAGCTGCGGCAGACTGAACTCTGACTCATGGAGACGCCGTTGTGTGTCAGAGTGGAACTGTACTTTGGGGGGGTCTCAATGGCTGACCTCTTGAAGTCTACTAGCCTTTTCTTCTGAGGTGTCTCTACCCTTGAACCTTCAGCCTTTTAGTTAGCTGCCACCCACTGCGGAGCCTCCCAACAGTTGGCACCAACAAGAGGATCCACGGATTACTTGTCGTTATCGAACTACAGTGGGTGAAGCGTGGTGTGTGAACAACTGTCGTGACGCTGCTCTCGCAGACCCGGCCTGCTGCTACTCACAGTTCCAGGAGACGTTGAAATTCCGGTTGAGGTCGGTGCCAACACATTTGGAGTTTTCGTTCTTGGAACGATTTTTTCGCCACAGGCGATTCTGCAGGGTTGAATGATGGAAGGGTTTATCGGAGATTAGTTTGCATTTCTCAATTTGATGATTTCAGATCCTCTCTGCAGGTGGTCTATAGCTTTATTTGAGATTTAGCTGGTTAACTCGAGGCCCTTAATAATGAAGAGAAATGATTGCTTTCTCATAATTTATAATATTTCCAGAAACATTGTGTTTTATATTTATATTCTTAAGCCTTGATGGAATAATTCCGCTTGTTTGTAAAGCTACTGATTAGTTCTCAGTATGAGTATTAGGAAATGATCAATGGTGTCCTGAAATTACTTGTAATTGAAATTATGAGCTAGAATGCCAATTGTCAATTTGTGACCATTGGAATCTAATTTTCAGAAAAGAAATTGAAGGGATTGCATTTTTCTAAAAGTTTGGCATTATCATATGTACCCACAATAGGAAATAAGGAATTTTATTTAAAAAGTATTTAGCCAGCCAGATACACACAAAAGTGTCTCTTGTCACTTGTTTGGTGTGTGTGTGTGTGGGGGGGCTAATATGTGGGTGGGACGCACAATGATCTCACCTCAATTTTTCCCCAAATGATTTTCACTCTGAAATGAATGTGTCAAAAAAGCCCTTAAATGACTTTTATTCTTTGCTAGAATATACTTTGGCTAGAGCAATACTCATACATTTCCTTTATAATAATTGCTTTCAATTTTTTCTGTAGTACCAGTGAAAATGTCATGTCATTTCATCTTACTTCAAGAACACTTAAGCAATAAGAAACTTACCCCTGCTTTAGTTTGAAATTGAGGTTTTTACAATATGTACTTTTTATAGAAGTTGACTACTATACAAACACATTATACTTAATACATGAGTCAATTGCACACTAAAGTCAGTTATAACAGATCATATAATTTGAAACAAGAGTATAAAATATTACCTTTGTCCATGACCAAATATATCCATCAACGTTGAAAACAGGAAGAACATAGAAGTTCATTTGGTCTAGGAGTTTGGTCATAATTTTGTTTTTTCCATAACTTTTGGTTGCCTGTAAGGATAAGGACAATTTCATCTATTGGTGCAAAATTTTGCAGCTAGGTGGTTGTGATACTAATGATTACTATTCCTTGAGTGATCTACCCAGGACACATAAGCGGATCTCAAACATTTTTTCTTTAATTTGAACAAAAATAAATGACCGATTCAGATGACAGAAAAAAGAAGTGCTATTTAAGTGAATGAAAATAATTGAGCATACAGTATTAAGCTTTACTTTATTCCTGAGACTTGAGCCAGTTCGAAGTGCAGCATGTGCGATGTGTTTCATAGGAAGAAGGGACGTGGAAAGAAGCCCTGGATGGCTTTGCATTGATTCACTTCCTTTCATGCATTAGGTAAATGCAGTTGGAATTTTTAAGTATGGGAATTTGAAAAAATTGGAGCAGATCTAGAAAATAATTATAAATAGTATTTATACTTGAGAATTTAGAGATTAAGCAGTCAGCCTTCTCACATTTGATTGAAATTTCTCTGAATTATCTGGACTTCCTATGGCTATCTGTAGACTCTGTCCCCATCATTGGAGAATTCTTTCTGGCACATCTAGACGTGCAGCCAAAGGATTTCTTGAAACCTCCCTTTAGAGCCTAAGAGGAGTTCTTGGCTTTCAGCTGGGCGATTAAACAACTGCAGACATAAAGCAATTGTACTGGCAAAATTCTTTGCTAGTGTCCATGCTCAGCAATCTCAAGGGATGCTCAGCTTGTGTGGACAGCTGGAAGAAAGCTTGCGTTAAAGGATAGCTGGAGTCAGGACACAACAGAACTAGAGTAAGGGGAATAACTCAGGGTCCACTTATAAAATTCACTTACCTGTAAAAAGTGAGTGCTTATTTGGGAAGGAAATCTAAATACCAACAACCCCAGTACTTGCCTGGTCAGTGAATATCCCCCCAGGAACGAGGTGTGTCTGCATTGAACATATTAGGAAAGTTCAAGTGCGTGGGTAATCACTGAGTTGGAAAAGACTTGCTGACGTAGGTCTTGTGTTCACAGAAGATGAGCACGGTTATGCCATGAGCTACTCACAAGGAATTAATTGGTGGGGGATCCACACAGGCCCTTCAGCCCTCATGCTTTCCCAAAGGTCCCACCTGGGAAAGTCTGTGAGGCATTGTTCCTTCTAAAACCCCCAGGGTCTCTGTGGATTGCCATGGACTTGACAACTGGTATTGGCTTTCACTGGACAGTGATTTCAGATGTACCATACGTCAGTATAGGAAACACGTCCATGTGATAGTTTCCAAAGCGTTGCTTTTCAGGCCCATCACCTGTTAGCTGGAGTTCAAGATGCTTGAAGGAAGCCGTCACTCTTGTAAAAACTATTGCCATGCGTTAAACCCTGACTGGTCACTCTGACAGCACCGAATGTGGGCTCTTGGGGCTAAGTGGGGCTGCACTGGCTTGGAAAGGGTGTCACCACTCAGTGAGGTGCGGGGGGCCTGGCAGTCAAAGGGGGACTCCATGCTCCGACTCACATACCTGGTAGACAAACCACTGGCAGAAGGCCGGGGAGATCCATTCGCGGGCGTGGATGCCACAGTCCATGAAAATGGACGTCTTTCTCTCATCCTGCTTCCCGACCTGTTGACAAGTAACCTCGAGATTTCAGTCTGCACACACTCCCACCTGATCCCAGGTAGACCAATCCTGCACCCCTGGTTCCCAGAAACAACAGTTGCTTCCCCTTCCTCTGGTTGAATGGGTAACCGGGCACCTATGTGCTGCTTTAGGGAGGGCCGAGGCACAGATGCTTAAAAGTCTGAGATGCATAATTCATAGCCTATGATGCAACTCAGGTTTCAAACAGGTTTCTTAGTGTCAGGGTTACTTTGCAGCTTGAAGGGAAAATAGCTATCTATTGTGTTTCTCATTGCTAGCTTACATTGGTCTGAGAAATAGATGGGAAGGTCACTGTTGTTTCTGCTATTTGCTTTTGTTTGATCGGCTTCATTGATTGGCCAGACGTCGCAGAGAAGATTCTGTCCCCGTGTTTGGAGCTGGGAGGAGAGGCGGGGTGGAGAGTGGTCATTGCTCGGAGAGTGGCATTTCTGCCACTCTGAAGAGAGTTTATATTTGTGTTGGATGGTTGGCGAGAATGAATGGGTGGGAGTTCCAGGTAAGGAAAGGCTTCTGCGTTTCGAGAGGAGCAGCATCTTTGGCTGTAAGAAAGCCAGCGGCAGCTGAATGGCCACGGTCAGCCCTGGGCGAGAAGGAGATCCCCTGGGACCATGGAGCTGAAGGGGGTTCCTCTCTGTGCTCATCAAACCTCAGACCCACTGCCATCTAGTCAATCACCACTCACAGCAACCCCGGCCCTACAGGTCTTTAACCCTTTGCCCTCTCCTCGTCCTTACGTTTGTCCATCAGTTTTACTCAGTGGACATGGTTTTATACACCAAGGAGTTCATACGCTTCTTCCCCCCAACTACCAGGACCCCAATTTTGCCTTGCAGACCTGGTTGGACTAGATGATGCACAGCGGTACAGACGGGAATTGGGAACGCAGGGAATCTAGGACAGAGGA